GAAAGACATATAAATGAATACAAAAGCATAATGTCAGTTAGTGATGGATACTATAAAAAATATAAAACAGAGATTATTCTAGACAGTATGGATACAAAGCCCTTGTCTCACAGAGTTCACATCCTAATGGGGAGACTAGAAATAAACGAATACAGTAGTGTAATATCAGGTAGTGATAGATGTGTCAATGCAAATAATCCATAACCAATCTATAAATCAAAATTGGAGTGAGTTTATTACGAGCCAATTTGAGGACTATAGCTCAGGAGAACTTTTCCACCAAGGAAGGAAGCTCTCTGAAGAAGCAGGGGGTACACAGTGGTTATAAACCGTCTTGGAACAAAGAGCGCACATCACATACAACAGGAATATCCCTTTTACTACTGTCATGAGATGCTTTGCTAGCACAGCAATCCGTGGTCACAATGTGAGCACAGCAAGTTGGTGGTCAGCAGGTCAGCGGTCACAAGACGAGTTAAAGCAGGTCAGTAATTAATCCTTAGTTTCTGGAAAGAAGTGCTTGTCCTTAAAGAAATGCTGATATAGGGGAGGCAATATCTCTATTTTTTTTAAATTGAGGTCATAATAGTTTACAACATTGTTAAATTTCAGTCATACATTATTATTTGTCCATCACCATATATATGTGTCCCTTTACCCCTTAAGCCCACTCCCCACCCCTTTCCCCTCTGGTAACCAGTAATCTGTTCTCTTTGTCCATGTGTTTGTTTATTTTCTACGTATGAGCGAAAATCATATGGTGTTTGTCTTTCTCTGTCTGGGTTATCTCACTTAACATGATACCCTCAATGTCCATCCATGTTGTTGCAAATGGGGTAATTTTTTCTTTGTTATGGCTGAGTAATATTCCATTGTGTATATGTGTGTGTGTGTATACACATATACAAATATACATATACATACATATATATATACACACACACACACACACACACCCCAACTCTTCTTTATCAATTCATCAGTTGAAGGACGCTTGGGCACTTGCATTACTTCCATGTCTTGGCTATTGTGGATAATTCTGCAATGAACACAGGGGTGCGTAAGTCTCTTTGAATTGTTGATTTCAAGTTCTTTGGATAAATGCCCAGTAGTGGGATAGCTGGGCCATATTGTATTCTATTTTTAATTTTTTGAGAAATCTCCATACTGTTTTCTGTAGTGGCTGCACTAGTTTGCATTCCCACCAGCAGTTTATGATGGTTCTCTTTTCTCCATATCCTCTCCAACAATTGCTATTTTTTGCTTTGGTAATTATAGCCATTCTAACAGGTTTAAGGTGATATCTCATTGTAGTTTTGATTTGCGTTTCCTTAATGATTAGTGACATTGAACATCTTTTTATGTGCCTGTTGGCCATCTGTATATCTTCTTTGGAAAAATGTCTGTCCACATGCTCTGCCCATTTTTTTTATTGGGTTTTTGTTTTATGTTGTTGAGAATATCTCTACCTTTAGGGGCATTATTCTTGGCTTTGGGACACTGTGAATGTTTAAAGCAGATGTACAACGCATGCTCAACAGGCCACGTCAGGCTTTTCTGGAAAACAAAGTCAAGTTGAATTAGTTTTAAACTAGGTGCTTTCCTCATATACTCCAATATAGCCTACTGCATTTATTTATTTATGCACTTATTTTTGCTGAGGAAGATTGCCCTGAGCTAAACTGTGCCAATTCTCCTCTACTTTTTCTTCTAGTATATGGGCCTCTGGCACAACATGGCTGCTAACAGAGCTGTATAGCTCCATGCCCAGGAGTGGAACCTGGGCTGCTGAAGCACAGTGCACCAACCTTAATGACTAGGCCACTGGGGCTGGCCCCCATCACTTTCGTTTATTCATCAGGTGCTATAAAAAAGTTAAGGGGTGTGAGTGAAGGGTAAGAAGTTAATTTTGTTAGCAGTGTGGTCTAAGAGATGAAGGAATGACATTTTGGGAGATGTGGGCCGGGAACTGAACAAAACGGTTAAGTATGCCATGTGAATATTTAACTATGTGAAAAGGGTTTCACCAATTAGAACAGCACTGTGAAGGCCAGAGGCAGTGTCTGCTTGACATAGTTAAGGAAAACAAACAAGCTAGCCTAGCTGGAACAGAGCGAGAAAACAGGAGAGTAGGAAATCAATTTGGAAAGGTAGCCAGCTGCAAAGTAATGTAGGGTCCTGAGGGCATGCAAAGGAGTTCGCTTTTTATGCTGAGGACAGAGAAAATACCTTGCATTAATTTAGGTAGGGAAAGGATCACTCTGGCTGCTTTACCAAGAATATAATACAAGAGGCAGGATTAAGAAATCTTGGATTAGGCTGGTAGAGGAGGATGGTAAGATTGTAAACAATGGAAGGAGGACAGACTAATAATGATGTTTAATATCTTTCTAATGAATGCCAGTTACAAAATGAGAAGAGGAAGACATTCTTAAGACACTGTGGAGGCAGAGGAACTTGGAAACCGAATATAGATGGCAGCCTGGTTGGAGAGAACAGGGAAAATGGAAGGCAGCTCTGAGGTTCTGAAAATTGGTAATTAGGAGAATGGTGGTACCATTCACTACAATAAACAAATTAAGACCAATTTGGGAGAGAAAGGGGCAGATGATGGATTTTGGTTATGTTGAGTATATCTTGATGTAGATGTTTAGCTGATATAGTCCATAAATTTACTCTGTCTCCAAATAGACAAAGTGGAGGCCACTTTTACAAGTATCAAGCAAAAATCAAGGAGCTAGTCTTTTGCGAGTGATAACTACCATGGGCAAAAATGCTTACATAATAGTGGAAAATCAAAAGCTTGCAAGATAGAGAAGATTTATTTGTAAATTCCTTTAAAAAAAGGCAGCATAGTATAGCATATAAGAATGGCTATGGAGCTAGGCTGCCAAAGTCTAATTTCTGCTCCACCCTTTTCTAGCTATGTGACTTTGAGTTAGATCTTCTGGCCTTAATTTCTTTGTTGGAAAATTGTTAGAATAAGGCTTATCTGATACGGTTGCTGTGTAGCAGGAGTTCTTAATCTGGCGTCCATGAAATTTCACGGCATCTGTGAATCTTGAATTGAAAAAAAAATCACCTTATTTCTATTATCTCTCATGAAAATCTTATTTTCTTTTATTCTGAAGGCAGGCTACAACCTACAACAAACCACACTAGTATTAGCAGTATGTATGGCTTTGTTTCCTTTAGAAACTACAGATAATTGCACAGTACAGTCATAGCAGATATTTTGATTATTGCTTATTATCACTACTTCAAAATCACTGTATTTATTAGAACTGCCTTAGATATGCTATTAGATTGCTTGTGATTGCAGAATTTATCTACACCCCTCATGACATGTAGTTTGCCAGTATCTCACAATTCTGTGCTCTTGGTCAACATAATCACACTGTGAAGTCTGAATGTTTATACATTGGTTCTCATATCTACATTGCTTTCCAGTATTCCCAAAATACAAACGTTTGTTGACCACAGGTGAAAGAAGGTGAATTGTTTTAATTTTGATAATGGCGTTTAATCGTAATTGATTCTTTTGTAATGCTATGTATTTAATTTAAGCTGGCAAATAAAAATGGCAAGCAATAGGATATATTGGAGACTATGAGGAAGCCATTTGGTATAAACCTAATTCGGCCTGATCTTGTCTTTCCAAAAGGGCCTGACCGTGGCTGTTGAACATGCATTGTATATCTGCTTTAGATATTCCCTATGGCAAGAACAAAGGCCCTTGAGATAAAGGTGCAACTTTCCTCCCCCTCCCAATGTTGGCATCTCCTTAAAGATTAAGCATCTTTCCTTAGGCTAGAAACTGATTGCTGCGCTCTCACTCACCTGTGGCCGCCCAGCTCCAGACAATAGACTTGCCTCCTGCTACGCCCTCTGAGATAGCAGAGCCACTACCTGCTGTGTCCATCAAGCGCCATGCTGACAGGGCAATCTTGTGACTATTGTGGGAGGGACATTTCAATCATATGTGAAACGTCCTGCTTGGGGGTATATAACCACTCTGTACACCTCACTTCTTTGGTGCCCTTTCTTCCTTTGGGAGGAAAGGCCCCGGGCCATGGTCCTCAGATTTCAGCTCAGAATAAACTCACCCAAATTTTCATTTATAGATTGGCTATGGATTATTTTCGTCAACAAAGCATTTAGAATGATTAATTTAAAACCAGGTCAATAGGCTTATCTGACTATCAAAGGTGTGCATGACACCATTAAGTGAAAAAATTCTGAAGTAGAGGAATAAAAGGGTACATAAGAAGCACTAAAGCAGTACTTGGCCCCTATCAAACATTCAATCAACAGTCTGCTGTTCTTAAAACGTTCAGAGAGCAGGAATTGAATTAAGTCCTATTCGTTTTTGCATTCAAAATGTCTAGTATAGTGCTTTGCACTGTGGCGCTCCATGAATGCTGAATGAACGAGGTGATGAATGAATGAAGTGATGCGTAAGCTGGCTCCTCGGGACCCTCAGTTGAGGCTGCAAGAAACAGCTGTGAAGTGTGGACAGCTTCTATGCATCCAGCGGGCTCTAGATTATTGTAGGGGGCTTCAGAGGGCTCAGTATGTAAGCCACAGCTGTGCCCTAAAAATGTCCCAATGGGAACGGAGACTGCCTTGGCTAGAGGGTCTTTCCTAATTCCTTAAAGCTCTCCTCCAACATCCAAGAAGGCACTCAGGCCTGCCCGCGGCTCCAGGTAAAGCGCTGGACGACCCGGCCTCTCGCAGATTCCGGGGGACTAGTAGGCATCGGTTTCAGCAGCAGCGATCGCAGTAGCGATCGCAGCAGCGTCGGGGTCAGGCCCGCGGGCCATTGAACGCCGCCCTGCGCAGCGCGGGGCTCCGCAGCGCTCCGCGGGAGCGCACGCGGCGCGCGCGGAGGCCGGCTCCCTCGCCACGCCCACTTCCTGCCCGATCCCGGGCTTTCCAGGTCCCCTCTCCCGGTGACCCGGATGCGCCGTCAGTTTCCTCCACCGCGGACTCGGCGGCCGCCCGGCTCCCCGGCGAAGCCGCAGGCAGCCACGAGGGCACGGGCAGGGGGCTCCCGGCGGCTGGCCTGGCAGGTGTAGGGCGCCGGTAGGAGCTGGGCGCGCACGGTTACCGAGCGTGGAGGAGACACTGCCCTGCGGCGATGGGTGCCAGGGGCGCTCCTTCACGCCGGAGGCAGGCAGGGCGGCGGCTGCGGTACCTGCCCACCGGGAGCTTTCCCTTTCTCCTTCTCCTGCTGCTCCTCTGCATCCAACTTGGGGGAGGACAGAAGAAAAAGGAGGTGAAACCAACCCCCTCGACCCCTGAGACCGGGGCGGGCTGGGGCGGGTCTGGGCGGGCCTTGTTGCTAGGCAGCCGTACCGCGTTGCTAGGCAGCCGGTGTGTCGGGCGTGGGCGATGGCGGCCTCGGGGCGGGATCCGAGCTGGTGGGAGGCTTTTGGATGAGTCCTTTGGGCCCCCAAGTCTCGGATGTGGGGTTAACCGCTTGCTTTCTCAGAAAATAAGGAAGCATCCCCCTGGCTCTGCGCCTCAGCCCCTCACATCCTTCACAGCCGGGGCGCTTTTGACCCTTAGTTGGAGGCAGACCTTCGGGACCTCGAGTCACTAAAAGGGGTGTGTTAGGTGGGAAAATACCCTTTAGGAGTATTTGCAAACCTACGGGAATTATTTGTCCTTTAAGTTCATTACTCTGCTCCCTTCGATGTCCTTTTCAAGAGGCAACAGCATATTGAGAATGTGTTTTAAGTTATTCGATATTCTTAATTATACATTTTTAAAGCTGCGTGGTTGGTTTTCATTATGTTGAACTCTGTATAATGTGACAGTAATATCACATTGTCTAAGTTATGCAAGTTTATTCGTGAAGTTCGGATCACCTGATTTCAATCTTCGTTCTCTGAATAACTTTGATGAGGGCGAGGGTTGAAGTGACTATTTAAAGTAGTTGTAGAGTTATTTGTGAAGGATCAGCAAAAAAAATCAATTTTGGAAATATGAGTAAGGTTTCTAGTTGTATGTCATGTTAGTAAGAGCATTCTCTTTATATAATTCAAGTTCATTTTTCCTGGTGAAATTATGCACACACGTGGCTCAAAATCTACTTTGGGTATAAAATATTGCCTCAGCTTTCTTGATAGCTGGGTAGAGAGAGTGAAAAAACAGCCTCACATGCAAAATAATTTTGATTTTCTTTCTCTTTACTCTTTGCCTGAAACAACTTTGAACTCAGTATTAACTTCTTCCCTTTAGCTTTTTAATTTTAACATGAAAATGGGCCATCGAAAATTCGTAGTGGAGTTCTGGTAAGAGGGTTAGAGAAGAACCACTGTTAAATTAAAACTGTATTTGTATTTACAAATAGAAATTAAAGATAAATTTTCTTGCACTTAGTATACTAAGAGTTACATTCCATGGTTTTTCTTGAGAAAGGGAGGAGGTTAAAAAGTAGAATTTTTGTATGGATTACCAGAGCAGAGGGCAATACAAAAATGATATGAAACTCCTTGGAAATTCTGATGTTTTATCTCTTAGAAAGGTTGCTATGACTATAGTAACTTTCAATTGAAAGAAAAAATCTAAAAAGAAGTCTAAAAAGTGTCAAAGCATCTTAGCATCTCCAATTGTAAGACTATTTTAACATGTGAAAATATTTGTTAACGTAGTATAATTAAATATAAATTATGATATCTTCTGTTTCCATTAAATTATAAGAGGTATTTTAAAAACGAAGAATTAGGGAGAAAATTTTTGAAGATTAAGAAAGGGTATGTTTATTTCTCTTAAACAGGAGAGCCTAATACTAATATGTGGTGGTATTGTAGAACACACATATTTTATGTAAAGAAAAGAAGAGCAAAATAAAAAATAGTTGATGTTTTAATACTTTACAGAATGAGCATGCATCTCTCTGAAATGTAGGCTAGTTCTGTACATGGTACTCAGTTCAAAAACTCATCTCTTTTAATACTGGGAAAAAAGCATTCTTTATTGGAAATGTTGTAAGTGGTTGGTCACCAATGTGGTACTTTTCTAGGGGTATTCCAGGGTTGTTTTGCCATATGTGGTTTCTTCTTTGCTGAATTGAGAACCTGATGCCCAGTGTAAGATTTGACACCATTGAGTATAGCAGTTGGAACTTAATTTACTACAATAAAATACTACAGACATGAGTACCATAGTAGTTGATTGGCATCAACAGTGTCTACCTTCATTCTGGGGAAACCAAATTGAAGCCTAAAGTTGAGCCTAGAATAAAGAAAGGACATTAGTTGTTTTTGAGGAAGTTATAGTTATGACAGTAATAGTTACCACCATAGGTTTTTTTTTTTTAAAGGTTTTATTTTTTTCCTTTTTATCCCCAAAGCTCCCCGGTACATAGTTGTATATTCTTCGTTGTGGGTCCTTCTAGTTGTGGCATGTGGGACGCTGCCTCAGCGTGGTTTGATGAGCGGTGCCATGTCTGCGCCCAGGATTTGAACCAGCAAAACACTGGACCGCCTGCAGCAGAGCGCGCAAACTTAACCACTTGGCCACGGGGCCAGCCCCCACCATAGGTTTTTGAGGCAGACAGATGGTCCAATTACAAATCAGCCCCTATCTCACTGTATGACATCAGGCAAACCACTTAACTTTCCTGAATTTTAGTTTCTTTGTTTTAAAATACAGATATAATACCTACATTTCAGGGTTGTCTTTGGGATTAAATAAGACCACATATATAACGTGCTAAGTGCAATGCCTAGAACATAACAAATGCAATAATTGGTGGCTATTGTTACGTGTTGCTCATTTAAATGAAAGCGTGAGACAGGATGATGAGCTCCTAAAATGAGAGAAATTTTTTTTCAAATGCATTTTTTGCCAAGTAAACTGACTTTGTAATAGTAAATTGTGTGGTTTGTAATAAATTGTCTATTACTTATTTTATTATGAAACACTGAGAATTCTGAACTCTTAACGTTGTTTGAGAACTTCCCAGCAGGAGGTTTTTGCGTCAGGAAGGATTAATAGTATTCATGGATTTGTGTTTATGTGAGTGTGTGTCTACATATATATGCGTATAATTGTTTCTGTGTGAAGACATTTTCATTTATTAAAAAATAGTTTTCTTAGGGGCTGGCCCAGTGGTGCAGTGGTTAAGTTCCCAAGTTCTGCCTCCGCAACCCAGGGTTTGCCAGTTTGGATTCAGGTGTGGACATGGCACCACTTGTCAAGCCATGCTGTGGCCTGCGTCCCATGTATAAAGTAGAGGAAGATGGGCACGGATGTTAGCTCAGGGCCAGTCTTCCTCAAAAAAAAAAAAAAAAAAAAGTTTTGTTATATTCTCTAGTAAAGAATGTAGTCAAGAGAAGTAGTTAAATGAACAGGCAAAGAATATTGACTGGAGATTTTTATAGTCAACTTTTCTTAATTACGTTGAAAACAGTCATTAAAAACTAATTTTTGAATCCTCACTCATGTTAAGTGATATGAAATTGGGGGAGACTTTAGCTTCGTAGTAGTCTGTCATTTGCATTTCTATTGCATCATTGGTTTCCTCTATTTTGATACTTTCTCTATTTCTTACATCATTAACACTTACCAGTTAATCAGCTTCATTTAGAATTGTTTTAGTCTACAGTGACCTCTTCTGATAATATAAAAAGAGCTCAAATTCTGTAATGATTCCAGTAGACCTATTGACTTTGCCATCATCAAAAGCAGCTATAAAAATTTATCCTTCCTGCAGAGAAAACGATTAGCTAATAGGCTATGATAGGTGGGTAACAATGAATATGCAAGATGAAAAATAAAGCAGCTCATAAAAAAAGCTCTTTTTGAGAGGAGTAATGTCATTTCCTAAATTAAATGAAATACTTCAATTGCCTCTGACATAACTTCTTTATGTCATTAATGTTTTTAAGCACATTTTACACTGAAATGTATATATCTAGTTATTTTTTAGTAGTATAGTCATGAAATAGAGACTTTACTATCTTAACAAATGATAAAGAAGGGAGAGGATGGAGGTAAGCAATGGATTTTACCTTTAAGCAAAGATGTTAAGTGGAAGAAAAAGTTTGCAAACATATAAGCACAACTTTAAGAAATGCATCGTATTTACGCATTGGTATGAATATGCATATATATGCAGGTATATGCAGATTATGCAGATGTCAGGCAGTTTCGTCTAGGTTAGATTTTGTGTTCAGTAACTCATGGAAGAGTGATTGGAAATGACAAGTCTTATTTCGATTGGCCAAAATTGCTTGTCAAGAACTATGAAGGCTTAGCCTGCTGCATTTCATGGATGATGGCAGAAGGCATGGGATTCCTGGGTCACACGTGGACAGTTTATTACCCAGAGCACTAGAATTGCCAGAATATCAGGATTTGTGCTGATGCTGCAGGCTAGATGATTCCTGCAAATGTGAATTTTGTAGCAGGAGAGGAACCTTGAGCTTAGGGAACTCAAATCTCTTATAATGGGCTGCAAGCTTGTTTGTCCTTTGCCCTCGAGGGAGACATTATCTGTATTAAATTGGAAAGTAAATAAACCTGTTCTTTTTCCTAGAAGGGACAGTGTCTTCCAAGTCTGTGTGCTATGCAAACATCCTTGAAAAGATGGTCCAGAACAAAGTGGGTCAGTGCTTTGGCTGCCAAATTATGTAGAAACTCATAAAGAATTGTCTCCCTCAGTAAGAGATAGTAACTTTGTCAAGAAAGAACGTTTCAGGATATTTTCCGCTACATACATACATCATCAGCATGTTCAGTCCCATATGTGTGTTTTGTTCAACATGGAAGACACAGAGAACGTGGAAGAACCGAAACCTGTAAGCTGAGTCACAGATTCACCAACTTTTGCCACATTTCCCTTTGCATTTTCTCTTGAGCCATAAATGTTCAGTGACTTTGGTTGTGTGATCTGTGTGCCTGTGACTAGTGTTGGTTACCTCAGTAGTCTCCAGGGTTTATTTGGTGTGTCAGGCTGTCTCATGATTGTTTCTTTCCATCAGACTCCTTCCTGGAGCATCATGCTAATCCCAGCAAGATAGAAAATTTACTTTTGGCTAAGTATAGGAGTAACTGTGTTCCCTTTCTAGAGAACAGGTGGATCACGAATAAATGCACATTTCATTCTGTAACGCTGCGATGTGTGTATATGCGCATGCGCAGACCAAACACGTATGCTTATGCCAGTCTCTATGCAGTTTTTATCCTGTGTTTTGGGCAAGATTTCTGCAGCTTCTCAAGTTGAACATATGTAAAAGCGAGCTCTTGATCCTTCGCTCTGCCCAT